CTTGCTTCCAACACTGCCGGAAATCAAAGTGCTCGCTGATAGCTATTGAGGAATTTGGGGACAAGTTAAGTCTTGTGGCATGCTCCCGTGGCACAATTAAGCAGAAAAGGCCTGGCAATCTGCTCCCTAAAGATCCCAGATCTTCCGTTTTCTTCTGCACCCTCGAGGTCTCCATGAGCTGGATCTACAAAACCAGCAACGAGCCAGCCGCCCTCCTGTTGACCTTTGTGGAGAGTGTGTGAGGCTAGCCAGTGGGTGACGAGGTGTATCGTTGCCTTCCTCAGGGTTCTTTTTAAATGGTTTTCATTTTTATTTTTCTCTCTTGCCATTCCTTACTCCCCTGACCCCAGGGGCTCAAGGAGATTGGAGAGGATGAATCATCAAGTGCTTTCAGGGACATTTCCATCCTCACAACAACAACAAATGCTCCTGAGAGGCAGGCGTGGTAAGATGCTGTCAGCAGAGACCAGGGCGGGGAGGAAGCCATCGTGTTGGGTAGAGGGGAAAAGGAAGGCCCTGGACCAGATGGATTGACACGGTGGCTGCAAGAACAGCCATTGTAAGGATGGGGCAGGAGCAGGCAGTGTTTTCGTTCTGTTGTACATAAGGTCCCTCTAAGTTGGAATTGATTTGACGGCACTTAACACCAACAATAACCAAAAACAAACAAACTCATTGCCATCCCGTCGACTGTGACTCATAGGGACCCTGTAGGACAAGGTAGATGAGCCCCTGTGGATTTCTCAGACTTTATCTCTTTAGGGACATAAAAGTCTCATCTGTCTCACGAGGAGTAGATGGTGATTTCGAACTGCTGACCTTGCAGTCAGCCACCCAACGCATAACCCACCAGGCCACCTGGGCTCCCCATACTAATAAAGCTACCTTCATCTTCAAGCCCTCATGAGAATGTGCTGTCTCCCCTCGGCTCCACAGTCTGGATCTGGTTTCAGACTGCCAGTGTTCCCCCAGCAACACCTTCCTGCACAGTGCTCAGCCTGCCAGCCCAGGTGGCCTTCGCTTGGCTCACTTCCATCACCTGTATGCTAAATACAGTTAAGTGATTACAGCACAAGGGATTAGTAGCAGTATTTGTGTTGCTGGTTTTTTATGAGACAAGTATGAAAGATAAAATGAGTTTCATATGTGTATTAAGTTATATTTATTAAGGCATCAGAAAGCTACTGATAAATACTTCAAGGTCACCAAGTGATTTTTCAAAATGCCTTCCCTCAGATAATGTTTAGAGGTAAGGAGCTATCATCCCCTAACATTACATAGCAACGCAGGGCTCTCTGATTTTCAGCCATTGCTGTTGCTATTGTGTGCCCTTAATGATGCTATTGTGTGCCCTTAAATCTAGTCCAACTCATAGAGCTCCTATAGTACAGAGTAGAACTGCCCCATTGCATTACCTGAGCTATGGACTAGGCGCTGGGCTGCTAACTGTAAGGTCAGCAGTTCAAACACACCAGCTGCTCTATAGGAGAAAGATGAGGCTCTCTGCTCCTATAGAGATCTATAGTCTCAGCAACCCTATATAGGGTCGCAATGCGTCCAAATCCACTTGACAGCAATGAATTTGATTTTGAGTTTAAATCTTTATAGCAGCGAATTTCTAGGTCTTTTCTCCAGTGGAGCAGCTAGTGACTTTGAACCACTGACCGTTAGGTTAGCAGCCAAGCACTTAACCACTGAACCATGTTACTCAGACCTGTGAGCCTCACCATGCTGCCCAGTGGGGAAGGCATGGTGCACAGGGCACACGCAAGCTTCTGCCCTGCCTGGGCAAGCACTATAGCTCTTTGTTGTTAGTAGGTGCCAAGGAACGAGTTCCAACGCACAGCAGCCCATAGCACAACAGAAGGAAGCACTGCATGCCCCTGCACCATCGCTAACAATTGTTCCTATGCCTACGCCCATCCTTGCAGCACTGCGTCCATCTGTCTCCTTAAGGACCTTCCTCTTTCTCATTGCTCCTCCGCTTTACCAATCATGATGTCCTTCTCTAGGGCAGTCAGGTCCAAAGTACATAAGATGAAGTCTTGCCATCCTTGCCTCTAAGGAGGACTCTGGCTTTCCTTCTTCCAAGACAGATCATTTTGTCGTTTTAGCAGTCCGTGGAACTTTCCATGTTCTTCCCCAGCACCATCATTCAACTGCATCAATTCTTCTTAGGTCTTCCTGATTTGATGTCCAACTTTCACATGTATCTAAGGGTAATAGAAAATACCATGACTTGGGTCAAGGGCACCTTAGTCCTGAAAGTAACATCCTTGCTTTTCAACACTTTAAAGTGGTCTTGTGCAGCAGATTTACCCAATGCAATGCGTCTGTTTGATCTCTTGACGGCGGCTTCCACAAGCAACAGGCTGCTTTCAATAGTGGCAGACAAGTCTCCTGCCCAGAGGCACTTAGCTCTTTCTCTGGACCTGAAAGTCCACCACCTCTCCATCTTCAGGGATCTTTCTTATGGACCTAGGTGGTTCTTAACGTTGGGACTCTGAGCCCAGAGATTCACTCCATTCCAGACCCTTCTTGCTGAGAAGGCAGTCCCCCTACACCCCTTATATGAACTCAGCGAGATCGCAAAACCTACCATCCCCTAGCTGGGTGGCAAGGAGCTCAAGCCTACTTGGTGGCTTTTCAAGCCACTATTTGCATAGCAAATCAACCAATCCTGTGTACAATTGCGGTCCACCCGATCATGTTGTGAGAGTTGCAAGATCATGGCTAGAAAAACACTCAAATGTGATTCACTGCATTGCACTCGGAGAGTAGCAGGTCTTCTCTCTGTCCTCCTCTCTTGCGATCTTTGAACTTGCACTCTGTAGTCAGACATCAGTCCCGTGTACCTGTTCTCTGAGCAAAGCCCTCATTCCCTTCACTATCATTGGAGGTACACAAGCCTCACCAAAGAAATACCCTTCACAATTGTTCCCGACCTTCTACCTCCTCAAGCCAAAAACTAAACTCACGCTATGGAGCCAATTCTGACTCCCAGTGACCCTGCAGGACAGGGTAGAACTGCCCCCTTTGGGTTTCTGAGACTGTAACTCTTTATAGGGGTGGAAAATGTCATCTTTATCCCTCTGAGAAACTAGTGGTTTTGAACTGTTGGTCTTGTGGTTAGCAGCTCAAGAGGCAACCCACTACCCCACCAGAACCCCACTTCCTAGACATATTCATTTCCTCCTTTGAAGACGGTCTAGCCTCATAAAACTGGTCTTTGGTATTTGACTAAAAGCCTACATTGTGAGTTTCACATCTGTGACTACAGCAAGCGAATGGGATCAAGCCAACTGCATTTCCTACACCTTCCACATTAATTCCTCCTCCTCCTCCCCCTCAACCAAGACAATTGCCTCTCACAGGCAGGGCTATTCTCTTAGGAGCTGTCAGGAATACCACGCTCATTAGAAAAGTACAGCTCACACAGTCCCTCGAGCTCTCTAAAGAAGAAATGGGTAATTAAAAATATCTAATCAGGAAAACCCCAATGTGTAGGTTATAATCAACAACTTAGTGGCTTTGAGGTAAACTTTTGATATTTGTTCATTTGGGGGTGGAGGGCGGGCCATATACTTGGACTAAAATCTTTTCCTTCCAATGATACCAACAAATGACTGATGTTGAGAACCTTAATCTTTACAGGACTAAATTGGATATTCTTGTTTCTTTAGGAATTTTCAAAGCAGAGTTTTGTGTATTTGTATCATGTTGGCCTGTAAAAGTCAATTAAAATGAAAGAGGAATTAGCTATTTTATTTTTATTGTACTTTAGGAAGATCCAACCTGGTGGCCCTGGAATGAAATCAATGACAAAAGACGACAGAAAGAACAAAATACAGATTTGGAGTTGTCAGTGATGGCCTTCAATTTCCAGAAGCATAATTGCAAATGTGTAAACCATCGGCTGTTATATCCCCTGTGAAGAGCTCATGGGCAATTACAGTCCTTTGTTTTACCAAAAGGTCAATTAACACATACAGCCAAGAGGTACCGCTAAAAGGTACCCCTCAAGTAAAAACAGAAACATTTCTATCAGAGTTAACATTTGTGAATTAGTTAATAGACCCAATCCTAAGAGAGAGAAAGAAAAAAAAAACTTTCCCTCAGG